CTTTTGGGTTGCTGCATGATCCTCACTGCTCCTCCAACAGCACTGTGACTCCTTGCCTGCATTAGAGAACTTTCCTCTGTTGAACTCTAACCTGGGTTCCGCTTTCCTGACTGGCTCTGACATGCTTAGTTCGCCCACACACACTTTCTTTCTCAACTTTGTCTACAGAAAGAGCAGGAGACACGATAGTAGCAACTTTCTTCAAGCCCACGGGCCAGAAGTGGCTCTGGTAGTTAGGAACTTGGAGAAATCCTCCGAGCCTCAGTTTCCTTTCCTGTAAAATGGATTAATAATCTATGGGAGGACATGTTTTCTTGTCTCACTGAGTTCTGGGGGAGGAGAAGAGTTTCCATACTGGAGTGAAAAACGGAGTGCTTTTAGCCAGACAGCAGAGCAGTACAGTCCTCCACTGACGCTGCACAGGGCCTGGTGAGCAAAGGGCCTGGGGGCTTGGCCGCTAGGAGTGGTGTGTGAGGACAGACATTTCTTTGGCTGCTGCTGGCTCCAAGCTTGGAGGTGAGCATGACACCAGAACCAGGATTCCTAGAGTCCCTCTGTCACCGGGGAGCAGGTATCTGGCCAGAGCAGAGAGGAGAGTCAGGTGCTGGGTTATGAGTGACCTTCTTCCCACTAGGAGGCCTGGCAGTTGCTTGGGGAGGTGAGGGGCACTGCCAGCCCCTATTGTAGTCCTGAATTCTCCCTGAGCACAGATGACTTCAGGCACAGTCTAAGATAAAAGCAGCTGCCAGGGGAAGAAGTAGAGGGTAGCAGCATGGGCATTTGGACCAGAGCATCCTGGTCCTGGCCTAGGGTAGGCTGCACACGACTGTTCTGTTGCTGCCCTGCCAGGCACTCTCTCTGAATCTACTTTTGTCCACTCACGCAATGATAATGTTGCCCCATTTGGGTGATTGGGATGTCGGGGATGGTGGGCACCAGTGTTGGGCAGACATGGGCACTCAGTGGGTCTGGTGCTGTCTTCCTTGGTGGTGGTGATGGCCCGTCACTGGTCTCAGCGCGCTAGTCCTTCGTCTGCAGTGTGTGCACATAGACAGAAGCCCTCTAGGAAATGAAAAAGGGGTACCTAGATGCACAAGTTTGAATGGAGATGTTTCCTGCTGGGGTGGCTCTAAGTCCCAGAGACCAGGCCTGGGGGCAGGAGGTTGCAGAGCAGGGGAAGAACATGTCCTTTAGAGCTGCTGCCTCTGCAAATTGGCCAGGGCACCCAGAGGAAGAAGCAGCTTCTTGTCCACAGGTCTCTGCCTCTTGATGTCTTGCCCTGACTCTCCACTGAGGCTCAGGTTGACTGTGAGGACATGGGTCCTGCCACTAGGAGACTAGGGACCCTGGGTCCCTAAGCCCAGGGAGCCAGGCAGAGCCCTCCTCTGCTGTATCTCTCAGACCTGCTGGCAAAGCCAAATTTCTGTGGAGAGAAGAATGGGAAAATCAGGACCCACATGATCCTGCAGGTTTGGTCTGGTGCCTCTGCAGCCTGGCTCACCACAACTGCCTGTTGTGCAGGCTGCCTCATGCTGCCAGGCTGCCCTCTATCACACTCCTCCCCCTCCTTGTGGGTCCCTCAGGCTGCTTGAACTCTGCCATTCAGTGATCTTTCTATGAGGCTAATCTGACAGTGCTAGTCCCCAGCTGAAAACCCTACAAGGGTTGCTTTCGCAGTGAAATCCATTTTTTTAGTGGGGGGATGTACTAGGGTTTGAACTCAGGGCCTCACACTTGCTAGGCAGGCACTCAATTGCTTGAGCCACTCTGCCAGCCCAAAATCCATTTTTTAACCTGCTTTTCAAGGCCCTTCTTAATTAGATGTTAGTCATTTCCCTGTCCTCCAGCCACACAGACTTATTTTCAGCTCCCATGCAGACAACAGGAGTTTTTGCCTCAAAGACCCTGTCCTTGGAGCACCACACCTCTTTGCTCTGATTGTCAAATCCTGTCCATGTTCAGTTAAAATGGAGCCTTTGACCCCAGTGTCTACCGTATGGAAGTCAACTCTCCCCACTCCTGCCTCTTCCCTGCCTTACTAGTAGATAATTTAATGCCTTTTAATGTAGATATCTGTGAACATGCCTTCTGCCTTCTGTCTCCTGTAAGACAAAGAGTTCCTTGAAGGCAGGGACTATGAGAGTTGATTCACCTCCTAATCCCCAGCAAGGGCCTAAGTGGGAGGAGGGCACAGTAGCATTCATTGGTTCTCTCTCTCTCTCTCTCTCTCTCTCTCTCTCTCTCTCTCTCTCACACACACACACACACACACACACCTGTACACAGATATAGGTGCTACAGTATTGAATCTCTGCCCTATGTAACAAGTCTTTCAAATCTCAGAAATGGTAACCTGTATTTTTTTGCTCATGAGTCTGGGGGTTCTGCTTCAGACTGCAAGTCTAAAGGTGATCTGGGCTCTGGGCCATACATTGGCCCCAGGTCTGTTCTATGTGATGTGCCCCCAACCAGGGATCCAGATTTGCAGCATCAGTGGCCATATTGAACAAGCTCTTTTCATGGTAACCCAGGAAGATGAGTGACAAGCCAAACCAGCAAGTCCATTCAAAGCCTCTGCTCATATCACATACACGAATTTCCACTTGCTTAGACCACACCTGCTCTAGTGGGGAAGGACTTCAAAAGCACAGGAGAAAGTATAGCTCTGTTATAGGGAATGAGTAAAGAATTGGGGTTGTATTCAAGCCAAAACTCATGTTCTTTCATGCTCATAGATACATAAACTGGTCTCCATCCTCTGAGGGAATGACTGACCAACTGCTTGTGTCTACTTCTCCCTGCTTCCATTTTCTCAGTAAGAAAGTGGGGCTGACAATAATGCTTTTCTCAGAGCACTGTGTAAGTTTAATAGACTCAGTACATGTAGAATGATCAAGCAATTCTTGGTAGATATACGGAACACCCAATAAAAGTCAGCTGCTACAGCTCTTCCTTTTATTATTTCCACTACCGTCATCAACAGCAGCAACAGTAAAGAATCTAATGATATCACTCATATAACTCCACTACAAGGAAGTATAGATTCATGCACACAAGCCAGGGTATACAAACACCAGGGCTTTTTTTTTTTTTTTTCAGAGGAAGTAATTTTATTTTACGTTTGCAGGAAGAAGGGAGCTTCCTTATCAATTTTTCTTTTTTTTCTTTTATTATTCATATGTGCATACAAGGCTTGGGTCATTTCTCCCCCCTGCCCCCACCCCGTCCCTTACCACCCACTCCAAGGTGGTTTTTGCTGGTTGAGATAAGGATAGCTATACAGGGCATTGACTCACATGGATTTCCTGTGCGTGGGTGTTACCTTCTAGGTTAATTCTTTTTGATCTAACCTTTTCTCTAGTTCCTGGTCCCCTTTTCCTATTGGCCTCAGTTGCTTTTAAGGTATCTGCTTTAGTTTCTCTGCATTAAGGGCAACAAATGCTAGCTAGTTTTTTAGGTGTCTTACCTATCCTCACCCCTCCCTTGTGTGCTCTCGCTTTTATCATGTGCTCATAGTCCAATCCCCTTGTTGTGTTTGCCCTTGATCTAATGTCCACATATGAGGGAGAACATACGATTTTTGGTCTTTTGGGCCAGGCTAACCTCACTCAGAATGATGTTCTCCAATTCCATCCATTTACCAGCGAATGATAACATTTCATTCTTCTTCATGGCTGCATAAAATTCCATTGTGTATAGATACCACATTTTCTTAATCCATTCGTCAGTAGTGGGGCATCTTGGCTGTTTCCATAACTTGGCTATTGTGAATAGTGCCGCAATAAACATGGGTGTGCAGGTGCCTCTGGAGTAACCTAACACCAGGGTTTTTAAACTAGCAGTCCACTCACTGGCTGAGTCTGCCTACAGATGTGTTTTGTTTGACCTTAGAATATTTTTAAATGTCACATGAAAATCAGAATTGCTTGAGCTATCTTCAAAAGTGGGCAATACAGTTAGGGAGGAGGTAAAAAGAGGAGTGGGCTCAGGTGGAAACTGGATGAACCCAGGTTTCAAGGATTGGCTAGAAGACTGAATGGCCTAGGTGGAACAATGGAGAGATGAGGAGAGAAGGTGTTCCTTGGAGCAGGGAGAGGTCAGGAATCAAGGATCACAGGAGGATCACAAAGCCCTGTGAATTGAATTTAGCAACAAACAGGCCCCTGCGACTTTGCTGGGGGCAGAATCGGTGTAGTGAAGGTGTAGGTGGGATTATAGGGGACTGATAAAGGAGTAAAGAAAGTGTGGGCAGCAAGCCTTCTGGGATTGGCTGGGAAGAAGGAAGAAGCGTGAATGGGCTGAGTGTGAAATCTGGGATTAAAGCGGAGGATTCTTAAAATACCATCTGCATCTTTCAATACTGATTGAAGACCTCTAGTAGGTGAAATCAAGAGCACAGGAAAGAGGGTTGATGAGGACCTTTATTGGGGGTGATGTGTGAGAGAGAGCCAGGTTCAGCTAAGGTCTTTCCTTAAACAGGAATGTGGACACCTGTCCCATTGAGAAGGGTTCACCCACCTAGCTAGTGGCCAAATGGAGCCGGGGCTCATGTGTTTTATCCATTCAATACATTTATTGAGCATCTACTGTTTACTGGGCATAATTCTAACATCAAATAAAAGGACAAAGAATCACTGCTCACATTATAGTCCTGAGAGGGAGATAATGAACAAAATTTAAAAGGAAGTTGCATAGTTTATTAGAAGATGAGATGAACTGTGAGTAAAAATAAAGGAGGATGGGCATTGCTGAGCCTGTGGGCTGCAGTTTCAGCAGGGTGGTCAGGGTAGGCTCACTGAGACTCACTGAGAGGACATCCAGTCAAAGTCTTGCCGGTGGAGAGGGAAAGAGCCACGCAGGAAAGAGACTGGGTAGAGTATCTTCTAGCAGGTGGGCAGTTTTCTGAAATGGGGCCTTCCCAGAGTGCTGGGGGGAACAGCAAAGAGGTGACACAGCTGGGGATGCCCGTTCCACTGTTGCTCTAGACCCTATTCTCTCAGCAGATGAACCCACCTTCCCCAAGAAGCTGAAAAGTATACCTGAACCTTCGTGGAAGGTTGCCAGCCCTGTGAAAGATGGAGCCATTTCTCCCATGTCCTCCGAGTGGACCTCAGTGAGAATCAGCCCCGGGGAGGATGCAGCTGGGCAGAATGTGCTGGCTGTGCGTGTCCTGGTGACCAGTGAGGACAGCAGGTATGCCCAGGCTTCTGCAGGTGGGGGCAGCAGCAGGGTTGGGGAAGGGCAGCAGTTGGGATCTGGTCTTCCCTCCACTGGATTGCAGAGGGGCCTCTCTGGGTCTCAGTTTCCTCATCTCTCAAATGGAGATAATCCTAGGACCTGTCTCAGAGGGAGTTGCAAGGGTCAAAGAATTAAACTGTGTAAAGTGTGTAGAACAGTGCCCAGTGCATAATAACCACTGTAAGGGTTGGTAATTGTAGTTTTCTACACGGTTGGAAAGGCCCTGGCCTGCTACTTTCTCTCAGGAGGCAACAATCATTCAGGCTGCAGCCCGGGGAAGAGATGGGTGTCGCCTGTCACCCCCTACCCCTGAGAGTGTTTCATAGAAATGCAGACTCTGAGACTCTTCTAGGCATGAGTTCAGGAAGTCAATCAACAACTATCCATTGCTTGTTATTTAGTAAACTGAGCGTACATCAGTGACCCATACAACACAAAGTCCTTGCTGTCACATATCTTTCATCAAATTGGGTAACTAGCCAGTAAACAAGGAAACATTTAACAAGAAAAATGCCACATAGTATCAGACAGAGAAGTAAAGTGGAAGTATGTTATAAAGAGTGATGGGTCCAAAAGGCCTCTGTGGCAGTTATTGATGCACAGTAATGCTGACAGCTAAACGAACCCCAAAGTGAGTGAGTTAACCCTGGTCATCGCACCCTGACTGTGTGGACCAAGAGCTGAGCAGACTCCACTGGCAGCCTTGGTTCACCCAGCTGAGTTCTGCATCTGGATCATAGCTAGCTGTCAGCTGGGGTGACAGAGGGCCTTTGGGCCGTGAGTCTTCATCCTCCATCCTACAGCCCGGGCTTGTTCAAGAGGGAGTGTCACAAGGTCTCTGGAGGCCCAGGTTTGCCCAGAACTATGCCCATTGCATATGATTGGCCACCACAAGTCACATGGCCAACCCAGATTCAAGGGGTAGAAAGCAGGTTCCACCCTTATAGGAATTGCTGCATTCTAGGCGACATCTCATTCACATTTTTCAGAGATCTGAAGGCTTTGGTGTAGAGAATGGACGGGACATGAAGGGCAAGAGTGAAAGCAGGGAGAGCAGGCAGGAGCCTGTGGCTTGGCAGGTGAGAGCAGTGGCCACAGACAAACTGAATATGCAGGAAAGAGAGAGTTCAAGGGCAATTCTCAAGTTTTGATTTGAGTCACTGAATGGATAGCACAGACATTTCTCAAGGTGTCTTGAGGTGAGGTGGATTCCAAAGAAGATGTAGGTTGTAGGGAAAACTAAGAGCTCTGTGTTGGAGCCGTGGGGTTTGAGACATCTGCATCTTTGTGTGGATATCAAGTCTGCAGTCAAATATGTAAGACTGGAGTTTCTGGGAAATGGGTGGAAACGGTGAGTCCAGAGGCTATTAAACCAAGGGATCTGATGAGTTGCTTGTGGAGTAAGAATATCTTCCTATTGATAAAGAAAAGCCAGGCCTACAAGAGAGCCCCAGGGCATTTGCACATTCAGCGGGTAAGCAGAGTTGGAGCTGGAAAACCCCAGAGCCCAGGCAAGGGAAGGTACCTGCGCTAGGTCACCCAGCCTTCCAGTCATCAGCCCTGGGTTAGGCAAGACGATTCCCATAATAAGAGGCAGAATGCCAATTCAAAGTAGCATCAGTAACAAAGGCAGATGCATTGGTTGTGCGGCCAGGAAGTCCGGGGAGCTCCTCATTTCAGGTCCTCTGTGCAGGAACAATCCACAGGAAGCTATCTCCACATGCGGGGCTCCTGACGATCAAGGGCCTCCACCCACATCCATCAATTAATGTCCATGGTTCAGGATCTCAAGGAAGCCTCCAACTGGTTCTCCTATATCTCACACCCACCACTGGGGCCAATTGGTGCCAAGCTTGGGCGGGCTAATGGATGGAGTCCACCACAGCACATAGGTGGGGGATGGGCAGTGACCTTGCAGAAAAGGCCATACAGCGTGTACGTACATAAAGAAAGGAAATATATATCTTCACTAAATGTCACTGCCCATCAGATTTGTGCTTTCCCAGCCTGGAAGTGGCTTGATCTGTCCCCTCTGCCTGTGACACCCCCACCCCCACTTCTCCACCATCTTAATTCCTGCCTGTGTTTAAAGCCATGTTTAATACTACTCTTGCCCACTCCAAGGTGTCCTTTCTATCCCCTCATCTAGTCTGGGGCATTTCAATCCTGGAGTTTTAGGACCAGGTCCCTGTGGAAGAGTTCATTTGGTTCCAGAGCTTAGAAGCCACACTGAGGGATGGGTGGGTGAAGGTGACAGCAGCCTTCGTGTGAGAGAATTTAGAAGACATTTGCTGGGATCTTCCTCCTGCTGTGATCCAAGCCTGTCCATCTGCTTGATCTGTCAAAACAAAGTGTCACACTCTGGGAGGCTTAAACAACAAATTCGTCTTCAGGGTTCTGGAGGCTGGAAGTCTGAGAGCAAGGTGTGGGCAGAGGAGGTTCCTACTGAGAGCCCTGAGGGAAGGGTCTGTCCCAGGCCTCTCTCCTCCACTTCCTGTTCTCATGACATTTTCCTTCTATGCACGTCTGTGTCCAGATTTTCTCTTCTTCTAAGGACACCAGTTGAATAGGGTGAGGGCCCATCCTAACAACCCCATTTTAACTGAATTACCTCTTTAAGGCCCTATCTTTTTTTTTTTTGTCATTTTATTATTTTATTTTATTTTTTCTTTTTTCATTTTTCTTTTATTATTCATATGTGCATACAAGGCTTGGGTCATTTCTCCCCCCTGCCCCCACCCCCTCCCTTACCACCCACTCCGCCCCCTCCCTCTCCCCCCCCAATACCCAGCAGAAACTATTTTGCCCTTATTTCTAATTTTGTTGTAGAGAGAGTATAAGCTATAATAGGAAGGAACAAGGGTTTTTGCTGGTTGAGATAAGGATAGCTATACAGGGCATTGACTCACATTGATTTCCTGTGCATGTGTGTTACCTTCTAGGTTAATTCTTTTTGATCTAACCTTTTCTCTAGTACCTGTTCCCCTTTTCCTATTGGCCTCAGTTGCTTTAAGGTATCTGCTTTAGTTTCTCTGCGTTAAGGGCAACAAATGCTAGCTAGTTTTTTAGGTGTCTTACCTATCCTCACCCCTCCCTTGTGTGCTCTCGCTTTTATCATGTGCTCATCGTCCAATCCCCTTGTTGTGTTTGCCCTTGATCTAATGTCCACATATGAGGGAGAACATAGGATTTTTGGTTTTTTGAGCCAGGCTAACCTCACTCAGAATGATTTTCTCCAATTCCATCCATTTACCAGAGAATGATAACATTTCGTTCTTCTTCATGGCTGCATAAAATTCCATTGTGTATAGATACCACATTTTCTTAATCCATTCGTCAGTGCTGGGGCATCTTGGCTGTTTCCATAACTTGGCTATTGTGAATAGTGTAAGGCCCTATCTCTAAATGCAGTCACATTCTGAAGAACTGAGGGCTAGCCCTCAATATATGAACTTCACGGGGACATAATTCAGCCTAGGACAAAGTCTAACACTGGCTGGGCACAGAGGAAACTAAGCCACTGGTCTTGCCCCTGGACTCCAGGGTCTGCAGAAGTTGGTAATGGGCAGGGCTGTGTGGGTGTGTGCCGGGGGTGGGTCCAGGACTGTGGGCTCATCCTGCTCTCCTCTCCTTTCTCCTTCCAGCTCTGACGCAGAGTCTGACTATGGTGCCGCTGAGGCCCCCAGGGCAAAGGCCTGTGAAAAGAGACCTCAGCGACCAGAATCCCCACCTCTACCAAAGCCCTTGACTCGGCACATGTCTTTGAGAGAGCCCCTGGCCAAGACGGTCTCTCCCCAGGGTCCTGAGGAGTCACAGATGGTGCATGGTGAGCAGAGGGTCCACAGTGCTTCATCCTGGGTCAGTTATTCCAGGTGACAGGGGAGCTCACCTTCAGGCTCAGAGGCAGGGGGCTGGAACCTTTGGAGAGTGAGGTGCAAGTGGGCCTGAGGGGTCAGGCCCCAGGCGCCATCCTTCTCCATGAAGCTTTGGAGTCCCAAGTGAGAGGACATTAGAGGGGCCCAGACAGCTTTTGGAGGTCACAGACCAGTGGAGATAAAGGGCCCAGGGCCTTCTTGCTTGGAGCAGCCTTCCTCCTGCCACTTGTGTGAGGCTTGTGGGATGTTCCCATACTTTACATGCACAGCACCCAGCCTTTTCCCACACAGCTCCACTCCATCCCCAGGTTGGCCCTGTGAGGTAAGTAGCATGAAGTCCATTTGCAGATGAGCCCTCCCTATGGCTCGCAGCGAACACTGTGGCCCAGCCCTGGTCACTGCACCCCCTAAGCTTGGGCCTGCTTAGAATGACTTGTGTTAGCAGCTCAACTTATTTTAGTAAAGGAATTGTTTTAATTCAGTCATCAACCAACAACTTGTGACCAAATTGTCTGACTTATGGGTAGTTCTGGAAGAGCCTGAAAAGAACCATGGAGACAGAAACTTGCCACCTTCAGAACCAATGGCCTTAGTGACCCTGTGAGAGCCAGAGCACAACTTGTCCTGCCCTGCCCTCTGGTGGACAAGAGTAGAATCTCCATGTGGTTTCCCAGCAGACCAGGACTGGGGCAGGAAAGAGCTCATACAGATATTTCTAAGTTCTAGAAATCGAATTTTTTGCCCTTCCATACAAACCTTAAAAAAAAGGACAAATTGTCATCAAAGCACATTTTAAGTACCATTTCTAGGGCTATCCAGAAAAGTTCAGCACAGATAGTGAACAGCATACTGCCCAGCACCCAGGGCGTCTAGCCCATCTGTTTACCCATAGCCCTCGGACCCCTTCCACCTCCCTGGGCTCCAACCTATATCATGTCAAATAGAGATCAATATATGTATTTGATCATCTCTTGAACAATGGCCTCAGAAACTTCAGCCATAGTTTTCCCAATAGTTTTGTAATAGCACCCTGTGCTGAGAGGGGAGGGCATGACAAAAAAAGAAAAACAAAAAACTGACCATGAGTCATAAGCTTGGGTCTGAGAGACTAAGGCAGCCTGGCCAAAACATTTTGTTTCTGACAGTCTCCATTAATTCCAGAATAAAATATTGAGCAGACAGAGAAGTGGACAGACTGCTTGACTTACAATCCCTTGTTGATTTAGTATTCATCTATGATTTGGTCATTAGGTATACTGCATTATAAATTTAAAATTTCCGACACAAATCTAAGTGCTAGTGTTATAGTTTGGATCCCCAGTGTCCCCCAAAAAGTCTTGAGCTGAAGGCTTAATCCCCTGCTGGTGGCACTATTGAGAGGTGCTCGGATCAGGAGAGTGCTAGCTTCATCAACAGATTAACCTATTAATGAGTTAGTTCTGTTTGAATGGGCTCTTAGGAGATGGGGCCTCCTTGGAGGTCACTGGTGGCATGTCTCATGTCCAGATCTTCTTAGCACACTTTCTGCTTCCTGGCCACCACAGGGTAAGCAGATCTGTTCTGCTACTCCCTCCACTATGCCCTCTCCACATGAAGTTCTGCCTTACCACAGGCTCATAGCAATTGGAGCTGACTGGGGATTGAAACCATGGGCCAAAATAAATCCTCCATCTTTAACTTGTTTTTCTCAGTGCTGTTTGTCACAGTGACAAAAAAAAAAAAACTAACAAAGCTGGTTATGGTAAGGCCCTCACTTTCCTAGATATGATATGATATGATACAATATGATATGATATGATATCCCATGAATGGATGTTATTGAACTTTATTAGCTACAATTCTCACCTGGATAAGATCAGGATACTGCTTTTAAGACTCCTAGTTTGTACACTTGTGATCCAACAGCATATTCACAATAGCCAGTAGGGGGAAACAAACCCCTTCTTCTGCCTCTACCCCATCCCTTGCTTGTTCCTGAGCTGTCTCCTTTTATATTACACTGGTAAGTACTTTTATGTTATGTACATTTTACTACTATTTGACAACAGATTTCCAAGACTGCCTCAGCATGTCAAGAAACTTCTCACATCCTCAAAATTCTTTAACACAGAGCCTACCCAAAATGAGGGTATGACGTGTAACTTATACTCAGTTTTACAAAACCCACAGAGAACGTTCCTTAAAACACCTGTGTTTTAGTGCTTTCTACTGTGGTGACAAAATACCTGAGATAAACTGCTTATAAGGAGGGAAGATTTATTTTGGCTCATAGTTTCAGTGGTTTCAGTCCACGATCACTGGGCCCAGCTGCTTTGGAGCCTGTGATGGGACAGTACATCACAGTGGGAGCACATAGCAGAAAAACTGCTCACCTCATTGCAGCTGGGAAGCAAAAAGAGGAAAAGGTACACATGTGGGTATTGGAGAACATTTAAAACTCAAACCACAACAATCTGATTCAATGGTTTTTATAAATCTTATTTAAAAGGATATCAGAGTCAGATGCCATGCTAGAGGGGGCTGAGTGTCTGCATTTGGTGTGAACATCCCAGGTGCTTCCTTGCAGATGGGCATCTCACACTTTGGACATCACAGCTGGGCAGCTTCCTGGAGGGTCTCCCTGGATGAATTAACTATGAAATGCAGGCCCAAGCAACTAAATGGATGGATCAAGTGCTTAGGATTCTTGGACGGAAACCAATTAGATTTAGGAAGGCAATCTGCCCCCAAATTATTCTGGCATAAAAGAATTGGTATTTATCCAATTTTTTTTCTGGCAATAATTTGGTAACAGGATGGTCCAATGGCATGAGGAAGACACCACTGGTTTGTAACAGTAACGTGAGATCAGCGGTAGCATATGGCAAAATGCTTGCCCTCTTACTCCTTTTGCAGCAGGTCACGTGCTCCTTTAAAACTAATACAAAATAAATAAATACACATAAAACAGATGCTAAAGAGAAAGAATCCAGCCGTGCTTGGTTCTGTTCCAGTCTATCAGATCAAACCATTCCTATCCACCCTCTTGTTCCTGATGTAAAAATGTGTGCCCCATCAACACCAGGGATGAAAAATCTCTCCTGAATCTTAGCCACTTCTAATAAGTTCCACTCCACAAGTCAAAAGCAGAGGAGAAACTAATGGAGCTTCAATACATTGTCCTCCTCATGTAAAATATCTACCCTGGAAACTCAGCACACTTCATGGACTGTTTGTCCATAAAGGGAGGTGGGGAGACTCACAGGCTCCTCTGCAGCACCCCAGACTGGATTTTCAGAGCAGGTCTATGGGACTACCAGACCAGGCAGGCACACTGCAACTCCAAATGGAGTAAGGGAGAGAGAGGAGCCATGGATCTAAGGAGCCAAAGGATGTTGACCTGAGGAAGGAAGGGGTACTGGTCAATGGCTGTGCTCTACATCCCAGCTGGCAAGAAAGAACTGAGGCCCCACTCAGAAAGTCAGGGAATGAAATATCTAGGATTGGAGGGGGAGGGGAAGGAGGGGAAGGAAGGGGAGGAGAGGAGAAGACAGAGAGGAGAGAACAGGAGAGGAGAGGAGCACTGGCCAGGACTTGACTCGAGGAGTTCTGGGTTCAAGCCTTCCCTCCCCCACCCTTCCACACGCAGATCACTCCTGTGAACTTGCTTTCCCTCCTTGCCTCCCAGTCCCACTCTCATGCACATCAGACCCATTCCTTGTCTCTGTCTGTGATGGAGGCACAGGAGCCTGAGAGTTTTTAACTATTATATATATGAAACATTCGTGTGAGGCCTTAGCTTTGAAGAACTACTTCCAAGCCAGCATTGGTGGCTCATGCCTGCCATCCTAGCTATTTGGGAGGCTGAGATTGGGCAGATCACTGTTCCAGGCCAGCTCAGACAGGAAGTTTGTGAGACCCCCATCTCAAGCAATAACTGGCATGGTAGTGAGTGCCTATCCCAAGCTATACAGGAGGCTGAGATTGGGAGAGTCCTGGTTCTAGGCTAGCCCACGCAAAAGAGTTTTCAAGATTCTTTCTCAACAGATAAAAGCTGGGCATGGTGGTCCATGCCTGTGATCCCAGCTATGGTAGGTAGCTTAAAATAGGAGGATCAAAGTCCAGGCTAGCCTGCGCAAAAAGAGATACCCTGTGTCCAAATAACCAGCGCAAAAAGGGCTGGAGCATGGCTTGAGTGGTGGAGCACCCACCTAGCAAAAGGAAAGCTCTGAGTTGAAACCCCCGGTACCACAAAAAAACTATTTCAAGAAAAAGAAATGAATACATATATGTCTGCATGCATACATGAAGACATGTTTGTGTCTACATATATGTACATATGCATGCCTGAGAGGCTGCTTACTGATCAGTGACAGAGTAATGGCTCACTCTTGGAGGTGCTTTCTGACAAAGGGCAGTATCTGTCTTAAAGCAAGTTCTCAAATATTTGATGACTGAATGAATGAAGAAGGGGTGTGGGCCATATATATCACCCTATACCAATATTAACTCAAAATGGATCAAGGATCTTAATATCAGACCACAAACTCTAAAGTTGATACAGGAAAGAGTAGGAAATACTCTGGAATTAGTAGGTATAGGTAAGAACTTTCTCAATGGAACCCCAGCAGCACAGCAACTAAGAGATAGTATAGATAAATGGGACTTCATAAAACTAAAAAGCTTCTGCTCAACAAAAGAAATGGTCTCTAAACTGAAGAGAACACCTACAGAGTGGGAGAAAATATTTGCCAGCTACACATCAGACAAAGGACTGATAACCAGAATATATAGGGAACTTAAAAAACTAAATTCTCCCAAAACTAATGAACCAATAAAGAAATGAGCAAGTGAACTAAACAGAACTTTCTCAAAAGAAGAAATTCAAATGGCCCAAAAACACATGAAAAAATGCTCACCATCTCTAGCCATAAAAGGAAATGCAAATTAAAACCACACTAAGATTCCACCTCACCCCTGTTAGAATAGCCATCATTAGCAACACCACCAACAACAGGTGTTGGCGAGGATGCGGGGAAAAATGAACCCTCTTACACTGTTGGTGGGAATGTAAACTAGTACAACCATTCTGGAAAAAAATTTGGAGGCTACTTAAAAATCTAAACATTGAGCTACCATTTGATCCAGCAATACCACTCTTGGGGATATACCCAAAAGACTGTGACACAGGTTACTCCAGAGGCACCTGCACACCCATGTTTATTGTGGCACTATTCACAATAGCCAAGTTATGGAAACAGCCAAGATGCCCCACCACTGACGAATAGATCAAGAAAATGTGGTATCTATACACAATGGAATTTTATGCAGCCATGAAGAAGAACAAAATGTTATCATTCGCTGGTAAATGAATGGAATTGGAGAACATCATTCTGAGTGAGGTTTGCCTGGCCCAAAAGACCAAAAATCATATGTTCTCCCTCATATGCGGACATTAGATCAAGGGCAAACACAAGGGGATTGGACTATGAGCACATGATAAAGCGAGAACACACAAGGGAGGGGTGAGGATAGGTAAGACACCTAAAAAACTAGATAGCATTTGTTGCCCTCAAAGCAGAGAAACTAAAGCAGATACCTTAAAAGCAACTGAGGCCAATAGGAGAAGGGGACCAGGAACTAGAGAAAAGGTTAGATCAAAAAGAATTAACCTAGAAGGTAACACACACGCACAGGAAATTAATGTGAGTCAACTCCCTGTATAGCTATCCTTATCTCAACTAGCAAAAACCCTTGTTCCTTCCTATTATTGCTTATACTCTCTCTACAACAAAATTAGAAATAAGGGCAAAATAGTTTCTGCTGGGTATCGAGGGGGTTGTGGGGGAGAGAGAGGGAAGGGGGGAGAAATGACCCAAACATTGTATGCACATATGAATAAAATAAAAATTAAAAAAAAAAGAAGAGTTGTGGGCCAGATAGGGAACTGCGTTGTGCAGGAGAAAGGGATTCAGTCAATCATAGTTATTCATCTACTAACTTTTCATAAACAAAATATAGGAGAAAATTCCTCTTATTGTACACATTTCACACTCTTGCTCCCTCCCCCATCTCCCCTGCCCTTTTCCTTTCCCCCCCACAGCTCTGCAACGGGCCAATAGCTTCCAGTCTCCAACACCAAGCAAATACCAGAATTGGAGAAGAAAATTCCAGTCCAGTGAGTCACAAGTTCTTGGGGGGGGCGGGGGCAGGACTTCTCTGGTTCGTTCTCAGGGGCAACTGTTTTCATTCCTTACATGGTGTCTTCTCCCGCATGGCCTCCAGGATGTGAGGGACAAGGGAAAAAAAAAACCATAAAGTTGACTTGATTTCCGCTGCTGACTCAAGGAAGCATTCCCCAAGGGATTGGGACCTTCCCATTCCCCTCCCCCCATTCTGGAATTTTGGAGTCTTAAAATTCTTCAATTTCACCCTGAAGGGGCCTTAGCAATTATGGTCTGCAAGCGTTCTGAAACCCAAATGAGGGAACTGAGGCCCAGAAACTCTACATGATTCGATTCAGAAGGGAGATTGGGGCTCAACTTTTTGACCCCATGAGATTGTGGACAAAGCAGTGACGGATGCACACATGCACACAGACTTGCTCTTTTTTAGAGCAGGGTTGGGTGAGTTCCAAGGCCTCCACAAGGGGGCACAGTGACTACACACAGCAGGAATCCCCTCCTGGGCTCCTGGGCCCCTGAGTGAGGGGCTGTGTGGCACTCTATCCGGTTTAGTCCCTTCACCCTTCTGCTTCCCGCTGCGCCCACACTCCTCTCCAGCCTCTCTCTGGGAGAAGTGGACCCAGGAGTGCCTCGGGCTCAGAAATGTTACTGCAGTTGGAGGGCAGCCCTGTAGTTTCCCTTCCTTCTGAGTCAGTGCTGACTCCTGGCCAATGAGTCATTCAACCCCTAGACTTGCTACCTCTTGCTGGATCAGGCTGGAACAGGGTCCACCTTTGGAGTTGGACCAGGGTGCATACCTGGGCAGCCTACTTCAATCGTGAACAATCTAAATGACACTCACATCACATGACAATCCCAAGGCATGGAGGGAACTCACATTTTTCATGTGTCCTCCCTCACTGTCCTCACACACACACACACCCCATCCTGAGTCACTGGGATCCTGCTCTTGGGCAGGTTCTTGTGGGTGCCAAGCCCATCGCAGTTGTGCTCCTTGGGAACCCCTGCCTGCTTTGAGAACGAGACTGATGGAGACCCCCACTGCAGGGTTGGGGCACTGGAGGAAGCACAGGACAGAGAGGACTGCTAACACAGCAGCAAGAGTGGATCTGGAGACTCAGCCTTTAGTTGTCAGGAACATTAGTTCCTAAGTGTGTGGGAAAGCTGGGTTTGCGGGCGGGGCTTGTGTCTGCATCATGTCTGTGGACCTAGTGCCCAGAGGAGTCCTTGTTTGTCCAAGGAATGAACTAGGGAACAAGTTGGTTGGGCTAAGTGCAAATGGAGAACATGGGTCCGGGCTTCCAGAATGCTGCCCCTAGAGGGCACTCCAAGCCTTTGACAGGGATTTGAATCTCACAGAGCCTCTAAATTCTGGGAAGCTATACCCTGGAATCATGATCCTCATGAAAATCTCCAGAGCCAGAGCTGTCAGAGTCATCTTTTTGGTTATCTCCACTTTTGCCCAAAAGGGGAACCCCCCAATGAACAGGGCTTGTCCTATAGTAGGACACAGAATGTAGGGCACCCTCCTGCAGCTGACCAGGCTCACCAGATTGACCACAGTAAGGGACCCAAGAGAGGCAACACAAGCAATTGCCTGGAGTACAGCCCCCAGACCCTGCTCTGTTCATTGACCCCCTTCACCCTGCAGGCCAGCAGCATCTAGGTCCAAGTTCTCTGGAGAGGGCAAGAAAGCCTAGGTGGACCACGCCTAGGTTTCCAGGAAAGGGCTGGAGAGGAGAAGATGAGTTAGCAAATGAGTTCCTGGGCCCAAGAGTTAGAGACACCATGGGTCACGAGTTCAGCGTTATCTTTACTGGACATGGCTTGTGTACATGAGAGGAAGGAAAAGGAATGGAATTCGTAACATGTAGCACTTGTGCCCTGCACTGCTGGGAGCCTCCTGTGTCCCATCCCATGAAGCAATGGAGGGATTAAGTGACTTGCTCAGTTCAGGCATCTGGTATGAGGGTGCAGGGGTTGGGACCCCAGGAACCCTTTTACTATCTTCTGAGGGAACCCGAAGGCATAACTAGTCTCAGGCAGGGAAGACTTCCCCTTGGCACTCAGCTCAGCTTTCTGCTGTCTTTCCCTCCCCAGGCTGTGCCCAGCTCCCAGGCACAGACTTAATGGCAGCTCAGGGACAAGTGGTCAGCCTGAGCAGGGGCTCTGCTTCCCCTGTCTCCTCAAGTTGCCTGTGAGTCCTAAGTCTAAAGCAGGGCAAGAAGACCATGAAGGGTAGGGCTGGGGATTAGAGAAAGGGAAAAAGGATAAGCTACTTCTGGGTCATGACCTTGTGAGCCCCCAGGCTTTCCATCAGTCTTGTGTCCCTGGCTCTGTGTCATAAGGTCTCCTGAGACTCCTCAGAGGAGCCAAGGCGACTTTTGAGACAAGTTTAGGAGCTTGATTCAGAAGATGTCAGGGAGAGGAGAGTGAGGGGGCAAGGAAAAGGGAGAGAAGGAATTTGGCAGGAATTTAGCAAGCTGAGGAAAGCAAGGCAACAACTGCCTTTTTAGGCTCGAACCATTTCATTGTGGGCTGAGTCGGGGTGCGGGTGACAGGCAGCAGGCCAGTGCCTCCCCCGCATCAACTCCTGGCAGCCAGTGGCCCCTTCTCACCCACTTTTATATCAGCTCTGACACTCAGCTTACCTTTTCCCTCAGAAGCATCTTGGGGGGCTTCCCTGTGAGCACTTGTGGACCATATGGGTATGCTGGCCTTCTTTTTAGAATCTAAGTCTGGGGAACACTGTGTGACATGTTTGTGTTTGGGAGTGAGGAAAGCAGGGCAGAATATTGAAAATCCACCCCTGTGGCTGTTCCCCCTATAAGAATGTGTCCCAATGGAACTGTTCTTGAGAGGGACACTTGGGTTCAACCTGGCCCCTATGGAAGTGTTTCACATCCACAGATTTGGGGAAACTGAGACCAGGGCATTGTGTTGATCTAAGAAGTGAAGTAAAAACTTGCAGGGTAGATGCCTTGGAGGGAAGTTTGCTGAGCAGCTGAAGCAGGAAGTCAGGGTGTCAGGCCAGAGAGTGGGTTAGTGAGACCCAGGGGTCCTGGGAAGTGTATGGGAGTCACTGTTCTGTGCCACATGGTGGAGCTGAGTGGACTTAGGATCAGGTACTCAGTGGGGCCACGAATGGTGGCTCATGTCTGTAATCCCAGCTATTTGGGAGGTGTAGATTGGGAAAATCTCAGTTTGAAGCTAGCCCAACATGTGTGTAGTCCCAGCTATGCAGGAGGCAGAGGTAGGAGGATCATAGCCTGAGGATGGCCTAGTTAAAGCATGAGACCCTACTTGAAAAATAACTAAAAAAGCAAAAGAGCTCAGGTATATCCCAAGTGTCAGTGATTGCCTAGCAAGTGCAAGGCCCTGAGTTCAAACTGCAAGTACTGAGTTCCAGTACTGTCAAAAAAACAAAATACTGAATGGGCACAATTGAAATATGGCATGGCATTTTTCTGACTCCTAATGGTCCAGTCTGGACATAAAATACTTGGGATTTCAGATTTTAAGATTACCATATTCAAGGAGAGGAAGGAGAGAGGCAGAGGGACAGGAAGTGAGAACTTGAGTGACACACACTACAATGTCAGAATTTTGCTCTCACAAAACCAGGTGACTTCAGTTGCCCATGGTTTCAGAACTGGCCCCTCTCCGGAGCCCAGCCACACTCCTTTCTCATGCATCTCTGAGAAGATACACTTCCTGTTTGTTCCCTGAACAGGAGCCTGGCAGAGACACTACTCCCTGGGCTCCCGATGATTTGGTATCACTATAACCTCTGCCTCTCCAGTTCCCTTAAAACTGCAAGCTAACCAAGTTGTCCGAGAGTCCCTTGGCACACTTGTGGGAGGCAGAGCTCATTTCATTAGTAGCAAAGGTCTGTCTTGTCTGTGCCCACAACTAATGCCCCAGCATCTTGTGGGAAGAGACCTCAAATGGTTTATTGATGGAGTAATTTAAAGCAGCCCAGCTTCTGACCACCATAGCTTTAGGGAATGCTAGAGGTAGAGACTTAATCTACCTCTAAACGTCATGTTTCTCAGGAACGTTCCCACAGGAATTTGAAATACTATAGTGTTTGACTTCTCACCCTGGGGCATTCTTTCCCCCATAGGACCCTGCTTCTCCTTCACCCATTCCTCCGAGTCCCAAACTGTGGACATAGGGAACCTCTGAGTCCTTCCTCAACATCTCCCTCTTCCTGGCTCTGCTTGCAGAACTGGAGCTTCCCTTACAACCTCCCTTTTCATAATGAAGTCAGGTAACAACAGGTCTGTAATAAAGTGTGTGCTCTCTCCTTGACAGATTTGACACCAGTGAACAAAAGAACTCTGTCACCTCCAAAGGAGCCTTCTCCTCCTCCTTCTTCATGGTCTTCTCCTTCATCTTCTCTGCCATCTTCTTCTTCAGCCAGTATCTCTGGGCATCCTCCAGATAATTCCTCTCCACCTCAGGTAAGTGCCCCCGAGGGCCCTACACAGCTGTTAGGAAGGGAGCTTCCTGTGCCCCTTCCACCTTCCACACTTATCTCTGGGTCCTTAGCACTCATGGGTCCCCCAAGTGTAAGGCCAGGACTGGAGAGAGGCTCAGCCAAGGTCCACTCTGTGCCTTCTTCACATGTGCCTTTCATGCATTCGCATCCTGCCCCTTCTTGGTCACTACCAGGACACAACCACTCCCTCAGCAATGTTTTGGGGTGTGGACTCAGTGTCAGGTACTCGGCTGACCATGGGATGCTGAGATGCTAGGATATATGCTCTGTCTTGAGGAGCTCACAGCTGAGAGATGACAGGCACAGAAGTAAGGGTGCCTTCAGTAGCATCCCAGGACCTTGGGAGTAACATCTTCCTTGAATAGAAAATGGCTGGGCTCTTTATTTCCTTTTATCCACCAGGCCTGTCTTAGGCTCTGGGAAGTAGAGGACTCGTGACAGGAGATGTCTGCTCTTATGAAGCTCCCATCCTATGACCTGCCCCTCAGGCACCAGAGCCCTTGGCAGGGCACAGACACTCCTTCCAGAGTCTACTTGTGTTCTTCCTCTGCCAAGAACCATATTATAAATGGCTACTTTCTCAAGGCTGTAAAGAGTGACATTTAGAAGGGTCACTGGACTGTCTTATAGGCCATCCTTCTGCCACTGCCATTCCAGCCCAGAAGAGTGACTGTCATTCCTCGCCTTGATAGCCTGCAAGGAAGAAACTAGGGTGTCTTGGGTGTTAGAGGAAGGGAAGCCTGTGATAGGGACCATGTTTGAGCAGGCCATGGAGATGTTGTCTTCTTCCATGTCCCTGGTCACCCTCAGAGGCCGGCCAGCCCTATGCTCACTGGCCAGGAGCTTGTCAAGAATATCAGCCATACCTTTCCCTCCCCTCTGGCTTCCTTCATACCAGACCAGGATCCAGAATGGCCTTTGATCAGCTCAGATTTGGGGACTCAGGTAGATCCCAGCAGATTCCAAGCAGCCACTGAGAACAAAGAACAGTCTTTAAAATCCTCTTAGGCAAAATTCTTTTTGACTTTGAGTGTCTAAGATGTGAGGAAAGAAAGGAAGTGGGGTATGGATTGACTTTTGCCTTCCCCATAAAAATAACTGCTGCGATTTTTCAAATACCTACTTTCTGCCTATCCTTTCTAGGTGACAGCTCACAACCCCCACTCACAGGTCTCTAGAGGTCATTTCAGTCCTTCTACCCCAATCTATCTGAGGCGAGCGAGAGCCCAAGGGTTACTTAAGGAAATCCCTCTGTATCTGCCTCATGGCCCAGTGCTGGAGAGGGCAGAATATTGCCTGGTGAGCCCTGGTGCAGACAGCCTCACGAGTCCTGCAGAGGTGGCTTCTGAGAGGTGCCAGGAAGCAGAGGCCCCTCTTGGGGGTACCAGAAGCATCCACAAAGAGCCACAGCCCATCAGGGGTGTGGACAGGAGCTTGCCAGACCAAAAGTTATCTGCCAGACCTGGAGAGGACACAGGAGAAGGGAGTAAACTGCCCAGGAGGGGACAGGAGGACAGGCCAGAGCTGGCAGAGGAGAGGAAGTCAGGCTTGAAGAAGTTAAGCCTCACTCAGGAGCAGAAGCACGTGTTGCTGGACTGGGATGACTCCCACCCTGAGACTGTGTGCCTCAAGACAAGGGAGCGCCTCTCCCAGGAAGGTGATGAGGGTGGCAGAAGAGGTCATGTGCTAAAACCAGTCCACCCGCTGACCCTGCCTCAGACAGCCAGAGAGCCACTGCCAGCCCAGGCAGAAGCCCTGGAGGAGATGCGGGGACCAGCTGTGCAGGGTCCAGGGGAGCGAAGTGTGCCTCCACCCAAGTCCCCGCTGCGGCTCATTGCAAATGCTCTCCGAAGGTCCCTGTTCCCCAATTCTGAAAGTGGGAAGAAGGCCTGGGCCAAGCCAGAATCAAAAACTGTGTCCACGGGCCAGCCACAAGCCTTCATGCGCTCATTTAGCCTTCGGAAAGTCAGTTGCCATAAAGATGGGGGCCAGCAGTCCCCGGGGAGACATGTGACGAAGAGGGCCTCATCTTTCTTCTCCCAGGGCACCCCAGCTGCCAGAGCTGCCCAGCCCTCAGACCTCAGCCTTCCTGACCCTGCTCTCCGCTCTCGGAGTTTGCCCAATAGGCCATCCAAAGTGTTTCCTGCACCCTACAGCAAGGTTGAAGATATCCCCCCGCTCCTGGAGAAAGTTAGTTTGCAGGAGAACTCACCAGATGCTAAGAGTCCAAAGAGAAAACTCACACTGTTTCCGTCCTTCAGACTCAAAGACAAATCCTTTGAGAGTGTCTTTCAAGATCCTAAGCCAAGAAAGGACCTTGGGGACCTGTATAGCAGCCCCAAGGGGAAGGTGCTGCCCGATGACACGGTTCCATCCCTGGAGAAGCTGATACAGCCTTTCAGAAGCACCTCCCTGGGGCCAGTGGCCCATCCCACTCCTCCAGCTGGAGATGCAAGTAAGTGGTTCTGTAATAAAAGTCTAAAATTCCTGCCGGGTGGCTGGCTACACTCATTGCGTTAACATGCGGGCACCTTGCACTTGGGTTTGCTTCTCAAATTAATTCTGACAAAAGTAGGACAACTGGAAGTTGAAGATTCTGAAAAAAGTGAAAATTTTGAAAGTATGCTATAGAAAAAGTATTGAATCAACTTGAATTCCACCCCTTTCCCGTTTGTTGACTATATTAATTTTTTACTACGTTACAAAATTTGTATCTTTTAAAAATCAGTCTAATGTGGAAACTAGACATATATGCTGAGGCCCTCCTCACTATGTATTATGCTACTTACCATAGTTTACATAAACATAATTTAATAGATATTTTACCTTGTTCATATGTTGTCATTTAATGAACCATTTTGTTAATTATTTATAGATATATTGTTATAGACATATGTATATATAATATGTAGGTTAATATATTTATAGTCTGTGCATGGTGTTGCATTTTTATACATATAGAATTCGCTTCCCTTTGAATTACTAGCCTAAACACTTTTCTCTATATTTGGTTGCCACTGGAAATATAGCCTTTTTAATATTTAAATCTGATTTTTAATTCTGAAATTAATTAATATATCAAAGAGAATCATCAAACAATATGGAAATATTTAATAAAAAGCAAGCATGCTATCACGTCTTCACTTGTCTGAGATTCCATAACTGCCTTAGACATAGTTGAAAAATTTATATCACTTCTCTTTTGTTGCTGAATACTTGTTTGATTGCTTTAAACAAACTGTGATCCTGCTATTTCTGATGTTGAGCAATTCTGTATTTCTTTATATTTTTATCTTTTTATTTTATTTAATTTTTGTTTTGAAACTTTAGTTTTTAAGCAAAACATTATTTATCTTCTTTCACACCCTATCAAATAGGTTAACAAGAGACTTTATTCACAGCCAAGGTCGGGATAAGCATAGACAAGTTGAAGTAGAACTACTATTCTCTTTAAGTCATATATGATAAACTTTAATCCTATGCATTTTTCATAGACAATACATTCAGGTACGTTAAAACTAAAGAATACAGGCAGGCTTGGTGATACACATCTGTAATCCCAGCTGAGGCAGGAGGATTTCCAATTCTAGACCAGGGTGGGCTACAGAGCAAGATCCTGTCTCAAAAAAAAAAAAGTTAACTAAGGCAGGTGCCAGTAAGCCTGTAATCCTAGCTACTTGAGAGGTTGAGATTGGGAGAATCATAGCTCAAGGCCAAACCAAGCAAATAGTTCACAGGACCCCATCTCCAAAATAACCACAACAAAATGGACTGGAGTGTGGCTCAAGTAGTAGAGTGCCTGCTCTGTGAGTGCCTGCTTTACTAATACGAACAAGCCCTGGGTTCAAATCCCAGCCCCACACAAAAAAATATTAACTAAGAACTTAGGCCATTAGGCATATGTGTGAATTTATCTGTAAGATAAACTCCAAGAGGTGGAAATACTGAAGCAAAAGATGAGTTTCCATAGCTCCTGCCCAGGTGTCCTCTGTCACAGTGTGCTGGTCCCACACTCTGGGGGCAAACCATGAGAGCACTGTCTCTGCACTTGCAGTCACCACTGTGTTACCCAGCTTCCTTCCCTTCTTTTTCTTCTTCCTCTTTTTTTTTTAAGATCTTTACCAATCTATGAGTGAAATGTAAATCTTGGAAGAGTTTAAATTCCATTTCTCTCTTAATAAAGATGATGGCATCTTTCCATATGTTGAAGAGCTGTTTGTCCTTTTCTGTGAACTGTTGCTTCCTTCCCTCGTCCAGTTTTCTTTTGGTTTGTTGGTATTTTCTTAATAATATATAGGGACACTTTATTTAAAGGGAAATTTAGCATCTCTTGTGGTGATATGAATTATAAGTATTTTCCAGTTTCTTTGTTTATGCAGTATTTGTTGCATAAAGTTTTTATTTAGTAGTTGTAAACAGCCTTTGTGGGGAGCAGATTAAAGCCTATGAGAACTGCACACAAGCAAGCAAGATGCAGTTAGTTGCTTTTACCTGTAGGCCAAGATAGGCACAGCCCCAGCCACAAAATAGAAAAAAGCAGAACAGCTGCATCTCCTAAGCTTGAATTCAGAGAAGCAGGAACACAGATCTCCTGTTACAATGTCATGCCCCTCCCCGTGGCTCCACCCTGTTTGCCACTGTTTATAAAAGACCTGCTGAAGGAAGGCTGGGAGTTTTGCTTTTGCCTGTTGGGGCTTTACTTTGGACTCTTGGGCTTTGGGACTTTTTGCTTGGCTTTTGGCTTTTTGCTTTGGGGGGCTTTTTGGCTTTGAATATTAGAAAGAAGCTTTTACTTTGGTACTTTTGGTATGGGAAACTTGTGGAAGGGAAAAGAGTTATTAAAGGGAAAAATTGCTGAAGGGAAAATGTTAAAGAGAAAAACTGCTGAAGGGAAAAGAACTGTTGAAGGGAAAATGCTAAAGAGGGCTTGATAGAAAGTCTGCACTGAGAACTTTAACATGGGCTTCAGAAAGCAAAGCTGAGAAAGAACTTCATACAGAGGCCTTAGGAAAGCTAAAGCAAAAGAAAAGCCAAAGAGAACATGGGACGGTGCACAGTGCAAGTCTAAGGACCAGGACCTTAAGAGGTATGCACATGCAGTTTTTAGGCACGACTGCTGGTTTACAAGTTTGAGCACTGAGGCTTTGAGAGAGCTAAAGAGAGATGGGACAGTGCAAGACTGGGGGCAAAAGATTTTAAAAGCGATTAAGCTAAAGATAAGCTGAGAGAAAACATGGGACAGTGCGAGCTTAAGGAAAGAGGTTTTAAGCAAGGTTTTAAAGAACTGCAAGGAGCACGATAGAGAAAAGAAGCAATGAGGGTTGTGCAAACATGGGACAGTGCGAGCTTAAGGAAAGAGGTTTTAAGCAAGGTTTTAAAGAACTGCAAGGAGCACGATAGAGAAAAGAAGCAATGAGGGTTGTGCATTCCAGCCAAGTGTACAACACACCTGACCCCATCTTTCTGTCTGTCTGTCTATCCTGTGTCTTTTCTAAAATCTCCAGTCGCCCCCAGTTAAGCCCAGTTAGGTCCAGTAATAACCAAGGAGCGAGTGAGAAAAGCTCAGGAGTGTGAGAAAAGGCTGGAGGTGTGGCCCAAGAGATAAAGTACCTGTCTAGTATGTGCAAAGAAGCCCTGAGTTCAAATCCCATACCACCAAAAAAGAGTAGTTTAATCACAATGGATGTTGAGTTTTATCAAGTATCTTTTCAGCACCTATTGAGATGTTTGATTTTTTTTTTTCCTTCCTACTTTGATGTCATGGATTTTATAATAGATTTACTGATATTGAACCATCCTTGAATTTGTGAAATAAATACCACCATGCCATGGTATCTATCAGTTTAATATATTTTTCATTTATGTGTGCTAACATTTTAAGATTTGTGTATTAAAATCATAGTTAAGATCAGCCTACAGTTCAAACATAGCATTCATGTGTGTTCTTTGTGCTAATTACAATGAGCTGGGGTAAACATATTTTCCTGACTTATCTACCGTAGAGAGCTGCGTTCACTTATATCCATTAGGAAATGGGTCAACTTCCTTAGCTTAGACCATAATAAGAGGAGTGACTCAAGTGGTAGAGCACCTGCCTAGCAATCGTGAGGCCCTGAGTTCAAACCCCAGTACTGTCAAAGTGGGAGGGAGCATGGCAGAAGAGTAGAGGTAAGGCCCATCGGTTTCCTTTTATTTCCTTGTCCCTACCCATTGCAACACATACTCTCTCAGAGATACACACTGGCACTGTTGTCTCCAGTTCACTTGTGAGTGCACACGTTCATGTGCAGGAAAGAGTAAAGGGTGTCCCCTATTCAAACAGAAGCACCTCAATTTATGATCACTTGAATAAGAACCAGGCTGAAATTTAATTTTTTTTTCATTTTTACATAAATTTCCAAGTAAATTAAAAGTATACACAAACTTATCAGAGTATATAAATGACTTAGAGGTAGAAACTAATCTCATGTACTTACTAATACCCATTTTACAAGTAATGCTGGTTATTACTCTTCTGTATAAAAAAGCATCATGAAAACCCTTTTTTTGTAATGTGAGTATAAACTTCTTATTGCAGTATGATATACATAAAGTCCACAAACATTAATTCTACAATTTTCAATCCTCCTTCCTTTCCCTCTGAGTGCTGGGATTGCAGGTGTGCACCACCATGCTTGTTTGTTTACTTACAAAAATCAAATCATTCCACATTGTGGTCAGCAGGATTCTGAGAGGGCCGCAGGCTTCCTGCCCCCTAGTCTATCCGCCCTATCTAATCTCATATTCTGCAATATGGGGGTGGTGTGAATATGATGAATTTCACTCCATCCTGTGATTAGGTTAGAGGTTTTTGCAAATATAATTAAGTGCCAAACCAATTGACTCTGAGTTAATCAAAAGAGAGAGCATCCTGGGTAGACCTAATTGATCAGACGAGCCTTTAACAAAGACTTCCTGAAGTCAGAGATTGGATTCTGAGCCTGAGAGTCATGATCCTGCTGGCCTGGAAGAAGTAGTAAACTGTCATGTTGTGAGAGGACCGTGAACACAAGGCATCTAAGAGCTAACATTGACCTGCAGCTGGCAGACAGCAAGAAAACAGGTCTTGTTCACTATAACTTCCAGGACCCCTGAAAGGGTTATCTTTTTCCAGTCAGACACAGTCTGTCTCAAAGTCAAAGATGAAACAGAAGCTGAGCACCAACAGCTCAAGTTTATTCAGTGGCCAATGAATGGAGAAGTGAGAGTCCAGCTTGCAAATCCAGTTCTCTACCTGTTGAGGGTGGGGAAGTCATAGGTAAAGGGTAAAGAAATGAAGGAGGCTGATGAAGAGGATGAATGTGTCTGCCTTTTGGGGGAATAGGCAAAGATTTTCCAGAAACTGCACACCACATCCATTTCCTCCTTCTTTGGTTCTTTCTTGTTGTGGTCACTGCAATTGTCAACTGTCATGGT